AAATCCTTTATAATACAAAATTTTATTAGTAACTTGCTTTAGATATACTTATAAAAAATAATTCTCTGCAATTTTGTATTAATTTTAATACTAACTTTAAATTTAATCTAATACTATAATACTAACTTTAATATTAACACTAACTTTAATCCTAATATTAACAGGCTGTTATTAATAGGCTATTACAAGTAGATTTTTTTATTTATAAAATAGTTTATTATTAATAAACAAAATATATTTTGCAATTAATAATTCTTTTCTTATTTGTTATACTACATATTAAATCTATAGCTTGTAAGTATAAAATTTTATTTATAAATAATAAACTTTGTACTTTATTATTAAAAAGTAAATATTAATTATTTTTTTTTAATATATTATATTATTTACCTTTTTGGTATACTAAATAAATATTAAACTAATAGATTGTAATTATAAACTATATATTTTATTGTCTAAATAAAATACTTTATTGATTATTATTCTTTTATTTATTATTTGTTATTTATCTATTTGTTATACTATCTGTTAAATCAATAGCTTGTAAGTGTAGGATTCTATTTATAAAAAATAAACAATATATTTTATTATTAACAAATAAATATTTTTTAATTAATTATTCATTATTTGTTATTTCAAATACTATATATTAAATCAACAGAAGGTAAGTATAGAATTTTTTTTAATAAAAATAACTTACTTTGTTATCAATAAACAAATTTTTCTTATCTATTATTTATTAATTTCTTATTAATAGATAGTAAGTAATTTTTAAAAATTAGTACTATTAAAAATATACTATTTTTCTTTTATTTTTTATTTATTATTTACTTATTTGTTATACTATTATTAAATCAATAGCTTGTAAGTTTATTTATTAAATTGTTAATTGATAAATTATATTTCTTTTATCTGATTTTTTTTTTTTTTATTATTTGTTATTTACTTATATGTTATACTATATGTAAAATCGACAGAAAGTAAGTATAGAGTTTAATTTATAAAAAATAAACAATAAATTTTATCATTAATAAAAAAATATATTACTTTACTAATTATTTTTTCTTTAATCTGTTATATAATAAAATAATAGATTGTAATTATAAAACTATATATTTTATTGTATTTATTTATTTGTTATACTACATGTTAAATTAATAGCTTGTAAGTTTAGGATTTTATTTATAAAAATAATCAATATATTTTATTATCAATAATTAAAATATTTTATTTTTAATAAACATAATATATTTCTCTAAATTATTTTTTCTTTTATTAATCAACAGAGAGTAATTATAAAATTTTATTTATAAAATTTAACAATTGCTAAGAAAACGATATATATATATTTATTAATTATTATTTTTCTTATTTATTATTTACTTATTTTATATTATGTCAAAATAATAGAGAGTATATAAAAATTTATTTATTGAAAATAAACAATATATTTTATTATCAATAAATAAAATATATTTTTTAATTAATTATTCTTTTTCTTATCTTTTATTTGCTATTAACTTATTTATTATACTACATTTAAATAAATAAATTATATTTCTCTATTAATTATTTTTTATTTTATTTTTTTTATTATTCTATAGAAATTAAACCAATAGACAGTAATTGTTGAATTTTGTTTATAAAATTGTTAAAGAATAAAATATATATTTTTTATAATTATTCTTTGTTAATTATATTGTGCCATATATTAAATTAACAGCTTGTAAGTATATAATTTCATTCATAAAAATTATCAACATATTTTATTGTTAGTAAACAAAATAAATCTTTCTTAATTATTTCTTTTCTTTGTTTTCTGTTGTTTTCTTATACTACATACATGTTAAACCAATAGACAGTAATTATAGAATTTTTAAAATTGTTAATGAATGAAATATATTTCTTTAATAATTATTCTTTTATTTGTTATTCACTTATTTGTTATGGTATATGTTAAATCAACAGCCTGTAAGATATAATTTTATCTATAAAAAATTTTCTAAATATTTTATTGCCAGTGAACAAATATATTTCTCTATTAATTACTCTTTTTTCTATTCACTGTACACATTAAAACAGACGGTAAGTACAGTACTAATATGCAATTTATTTCACAAAAATATTAAGCAATTAATGACAAGAATCAATTCATAGAGATTCCTCTTATGGAAAATGTAAAACTTGTAAGCATTATAACACGTTTTATGCCTGGTGCCAGACATGTGATTTCAAAACAATTGTCCAAGGATGGTCATATGAAGATGAAGTTGTTGATAATAGCATTAAGGAACTTATTAAAGAGTTTCAACGCGGGGCTATAATGCATGATGAAGTTATTGAATGGATCCCATTTGATAGACTGGAAGAAGTTAAGTACATTGCTGAAGGGGGTAATGGAACGGTATTTTCAGCAATTTGGTTGGATGGCATACGAGTAACTAAATATAATAAATACAACTGGGTAAAGTCACGCGAAAATCTATAGTTGCCCTTAAAACCTTGCCTAATTTTCAAGATCTTTCTGAATGTTTAAAAGAAGTAAGTTAAAAAATGGTTTATTGTTTTAAATTAAGTATTTTACACATATTAATGTAAATTCATTTAATAAGTTCAAAAGTCATATGCAATGTCGATTAATGGGAAGTGAATTACAGATATATGGATTAACTAAAAGTACAAAAACTTTTGAGCATCTTGAGGCAGGTGTTTATCTGATGATACTTCAATTTGCTAATGGTGGAAATCTTAATAAGTTTTTAAGAGAAAACTTTAAAAAACTTAAATGGGAACATAAATTATCACAACTTATTGATATATCAATTGATTTAGTGAAAATCCACAAAGCAGGTTATGCACATAGTGATTTTCATAGCGGAAATATTTTGCAAAATAATTTTAGCGGAACTGTACTTTCCTATATTGCAGATTGGATTATCTAAAAAAGTTGAAGAGTATAGTAATGATAAAAACAATAATGAAATTTCTGGAGTTATGCCATATGTTGCACCTGAAGTTTTATTAGGTAAACCTTATACACCAGCGGCTGATATTTATGGGCTAGGTGTTATTATGGCAGAAATGTCAACTGGGCAGAGACATTGCGATGGTTTATCATTTGATCATAGACTCGCAGTTAATATTTGCAAAGGATTATTACGACCAAAATTTGCTCCTGGAACTCCAAATTGCTACATTAAATTAGCCAAAAAATGTATGGACTTAGATCCTCAAAAACGACCTACTGCTAATGAAATTGCCTTAAATCTTTATGAGCAATTGCGTTATATTGAAGGTCATAATAATAAACTTGATATAAAGCAGAAATTCTTGAATGCCGATGAAATAATCCAATTCTTGCCGATTAGCAAACCAAAACATCCGGATAAAACGTACACATCTAAAATTATTAACACTCAAGAAATAAATAGGGAGATGATGGAAAGGTTTTATAGCAATACAACTACCGAAGAAATCGAAAATGAAGTGGCTCAAGGTATGTAATTATATTTCTAAAAATATTTTTGCATTATTATATTTGTAATAAAGGGTTTTCTTTTTATATATTTAGCTTCTAAAATGATTGAACCTCAATTTTAAATTTATAAAAATAATCAGCAATAAAATTTCATGTGAAATATAGTGAAAATTTTGACAAGCCAAAATATCGAAATTTAAAGCGTTCTACATAGTTAGAAAAAAATTATTTAAAAAAAGAAAGGGTTAATTCGTCAATAGCTTAACATTAATTTTGAAAACGATATATATATATAACTAGGATTTTGAGGAGGATTTAACTACGATATATTTATTTGCAATAAAAAATTATTCCCACGGAGTAATCAAATATCATTTGAATGTAATTAATATGTTATTATATAATTATTATATTATTAATTGTTAGTTATTTAAAACATACGACGTACGATGCAAGAAATCTAAATAACCACAATTATATTCTTATAGAGCCAAATTGAAACCCTAAATCATTAATATCAATAAAGTGTTTATGTAAATACTTTTTTTGAATCGATAATTTAAGAAATATGAAGTTTAATGTGCTACTAAATTATCTACTTGGCAGAATTTTAACCTATTATCAAGTTATACATTAAATTAAATTATTGACTTAAGGAATACAGTATTTAATTTCGCTACCGATTTCAGATAAAATAAATAACGTATTTCCTTTTTTAAAGTATATAATTTATTTACATAATGACTTACCAGTGGGTATTTATTAAAAAGATATTAATTTTATTACTGGTTACGCTTATTTAATTTTCTGACTCGGAATTTTAAAACAGAAAATAATTTTTTAAACTTCCAATTATTTTCGAAATAAGTTAATTCTGAAATCTCCTACTGTTTATATTTTGTCTCTGTAAGGTGTTATAGAGGTGCGATCCGTAAACTATTAGTTGATATAAATAAACTGTAGTTTTAAAATAAACTACAGTTTATTTATATGTTCTGTAATTCACAGTTCACATCTCTAGTAAGGTGTAATAGTGATAATTAAATTTCTTGCACCGTACATGCACACAAGCTTATTTGATTTTTCTGTTATGAAACACAAACTGCATTATTATGTCATTGTGTGGGTAGCACATAATACTGGAGTAATTATGGAAGTAAAAAATTGTAACAGACGATGAGATTTTCATTTGTAATAGCGCGGGCACTTAAAAATGAAAATAACTTTAATATATTTTATAAAAGTTGTACATTTTTAACTAATTATTTTTTTTACAAACTTGTTAGCAATTAAAATATGGAAAATCAAAGTTTACGTTATAAATTTATTTTATTATCCTTTTTCTAATACATTAACAAAAAATTTTTACATTATAAAAATAATATACAGAATTACGTATACAAATCAAAATCTACGTTACTAGTTTTAGCGCAATCACGTCGTGCAACTACCTTATTTGTTCATCCAATGACTTTGACGAAAAGAAGATTCATAACTTTGATCAACTGTTTGACTTATTTCTTCATCTTTCTTCATCTTTGACGCGCCGCGCAGTTTCTTCATTATTGGTGTTATTCTTACGTTCACAAGGTACGTAGCATTATTACACAATCAGCATTTGTTATAATTTTAAAAAGAAAAAAAAAGGAAACCTAAATAAAAAACATACTTTAACTTGTTTCTCATTATTTGATACACAGTCAAGTTTGAATATAAATGAACACTCTTGGTTATATTTTCTAGTATCGCTGTGAGCAAACTGCAAAGAGGTTGCCACTGAAAAAAGAATAATTCCAGTAACCCAATGGTATGAAGCAGAACTTGAAAAGTAATATACAATTGACGCAAAATGTAAATTCCGTATAGTGTAAGCTAATGAATAGATGTTATAATTTGACCTTTTATAACAAAAATTTTTAATAAAAAAAAATTCTAAAATAATTTGAAAGACCACTAAAATCAAAGTTAATAAGAAAACTAAGGTTTTAAACCCATAAACTTTGCTAACAACGTGTAATATGAAGATATTAAATGAAAGGCAAATTAAACCAATAACTACCATAGATGATTTAAAATAACTATAAAATTTTTCAAGTTTATTGGACTCCTTCCTATTTCTAAAATCATAAATAGAAAATATCAATGACATGCTAGCTGCAATAATCATTATAATCGTATAAAACCTTAATATTTTAAATAAAGAACCATCGTATATCTCATATGGTGAAATTAAAGAAGGAACTAGTAACAATAAAGGAGGTAAAATCATTTGAACAGAGTCATTATAGTATCGTGAAAATTTTTTGACTTCGTCATTGGGGTCATTCGTAAATATAAAATAAAGTTGATATATAACTGGCGCAATACGTATAAAAAGAAATTTAAAATCACTTTCCAGGCTTATACGGCTTTTAATACTACTTTGAAGTGGAACAGGGAGACTTATATTAAGGTATGAGCTATTAAAATTCAAATCATCACCAGCACTTACAGATGAAAGCTGTATTAAAAGGATGACTACTTTAATAATAAAATTGCGCATTTTCATGGTTCAATTTTAACGATTACGAAAAAAAAAAAAAATGCAAGCATCTACTTATGCATGTAACCTTTTTATATTATATTATCTAAAGCTGCTACGTACTTCAAACGCCTAAATATCGATTGTATGCAATATAACTTGTTAAAATCTATACGTAAAAAATTGATCCACTATATTCGTTTCTAATAGTAATATTAACCTTTTAAACCTGTTAACCTTTTAAAGCTGATATAAAATTTGTCTATCATGCATACCGGTTTTGACAGGGTGTACTGTATGTTGTTTTGTGAATAAAACTGTGTGGCTTTTTTATACGATTGCATAAGGATTTTACGAAAATCGAACTTTGTAAATAGTAAAAATAAAAGTTTAGGATTAGAATGTTAAGGTTGTGGCTATAGCGATAAGTTGATACTTTAATATGTAAAAATTTAATCCCCGTCATTTTTTATTAGCTCAACAAGGCCGATTTAAACATTAGCGTTCAAATGTTTTCGCCTTATTTCCTTTTTTTCTTATGTCGGAATACCAAAGATTTGTGTTTTTAGAGGTTCGTATCGTATTAATGTACGTACGTACCACCAACAGAGTCAACGTCGAGTATCTGCTTTTGATTGGACAAACTTTTTTCACATGCCATTTATAATCCGAGATATATGTTGAGAATTCTAGAAACGGGAGTGCTTATTATTATGGCTTTCAATATGTGATACAGTATGTGAAGTTTATTTACCTGTTGCTCACGGGTTTAACTGTATATTATATCGATCCACATATCGATATCTGTTTCTAATATGGTAATTTTATCCTTTTAAACATATAACCTTTTAAAGCTGTTATAAAAATTGTCTACCATGCATACCGGTTTTAACAGGGTATACTGTATTATCAATTTCGGTTATCAAATTTGCATATTATCGTTATTATTATAGCTAGAAGTGCAGGCAGATCGCCGTAACTTGTAATGACTATAACGATAGCAGTTATAGTTACGCAAGTAACGACAATCCGCCTACACTTCTAGTTATACTTCGTGATGATAAATTTTTCTATATCTGATATATTTTAAAATTTGTCCACAATCAGCGCCGGCTTTCCGTTTAAACTGTTTCCATTTTTCAATTGACTTAGATTTACACAAAAAATAAGGTTTGTCGTTATGACGATTAAATTTATTTTTTTGCTTCAGACTTTTATCAGATCCTGATTAATAGTCATTATAAGACTTTCTTAAAATGCATAATATAAATTAACAACCTACACTTCTGCAAAATTGTTATTTTCTAATTGTTTTTTGCACAATAGGTAATAAAAAAATTGTTCTCTTAATTTACTTGCCCAAGTTTCACAATGGAGATAAGTTGCGAGAGTTTCTTAAAAAAGTATTGTAAAACGTATAAAAGAATTTATCTAAAATTATATTTAAGGCGTCTTGTCTTATTCGAATATTACATTGGTAATTAAGTTAATAACAATATTTGAGTTGGTAAAGTGTTTTGGTTGAGAACTGTTCATGTCCATGAAAATCTGTGTTGACCCCTATTAAGTAAAAAAAGTGAAATTGTAGTGCCTTATAATACGAATGGTTTTCTCTTTGAAATTACCATTCTAATTTTAATTCACCAGCATTTTTTATAGGGGCTGTCTTTGATGAAATATAATGATATCTTGATTTGCCAAGTTCGTTTATATAGAACACCTCCGTGCCATAGAATGTAATAATACAAACTTGGCACGCCATATTAATGTTTTTACTTCTATTTAGTGCACTTAAATTTATTTAATATTATTTCTCAATTTATATAATTTTAAGTTAAAATTAATCATTTATAAATTAATAATAATAATAATAATTGTCAGAAGAGTAGCGAGGACTCGAAAAATTGAAGATTCCTATGTAGAGCCTGTACCTGTATAAGAATTACCCGGGCCCGGTTAACACCTGTCAAACGGGTCATAGCTATCAATAACCGGTGATCCGGATTAATTATCCATAAACGTGTTAATACATATCGATATGTATCGGTATATAAACTTTTATAATATTAATATGGTGCTCAAATTTTGTACCAGGTACAACCTCTATTCCTATTCCTATGAAGATCTGTAGTCAGAATAACAAAGTTACACATATGCAGGATTTGTTGATAAAAAAATCGGCCAAGTGGCTAACTAATCACCGTTACTAAAACCAGATCTTTATCTCACACCGGCTCAAATTATATTATTAAAGTCATGTGATCTTAAGCTACATTAGCCAGCCGATCACATTACAGCGGCTGGCTTAGTCTGCTAAGCTGCCTTAGCCGCGGCAGCCCTAGCCGGCTGATCATGTCGACCATCATATGTGTAGCATCCAATTGACCAATCAAAATTTTGGATCTTCATATGAACTCTAACAATTTACAACTCGCTAATGAAGCTTAACAATTTTTTTTTTTTTCCTATTTGTTTGTAGAATTAAAATAAAAAAAAATTTATTCAATTCTATTGACACCTGAAAACGACGAGTCGGTCGTTCCACAATCCGGGACACCACCGTGTAACCTACGATCGGCTTTGTCGAAAGAGACGGTTTTATTTGGCGAGTGGATAATATGGTCGTAGGTATAACTTCTTTGACTTATACAAACAATACACTAGAACTAGGGTTGTAAGATTTGTAACTTACATACTTACCTTACATGTAAGTTACATTAGGGTGTTGAAAATATATTCAATTACAAACATAGGCCAAACAACTTAGTAAATTGTATTAATGAGGATTTTCTTACTATCTGATTGGCTAGGTTTGTAGATCTACATGTGTTTGAGTTGTATTAATAAAAAATGATATCTGATATTGATATCGATTAATATACATATTATAAGCTTTCGAAGCTATTAAGCGAAGCACATATTTTTTTTAAATAATAGCATTAACATTTAGCAAAGTAAGCTATATAGAGTTTTATTTTTTAATAAGTAGAAGTTGACTTCTTAAAATAGTCTAAAGTATATAGTAAGTTATCCGAACTATTGATTTTTATATGCTACTATAAAAATTTTAAAGAATTATAATACTCTTTAATATATGATATTATACAACTTTATTAAAATATATTATTAGCTAACTTCAAAATCCTACAAACATAGAGAAAAAAAAATACAAAATTGAAGTTGCGAATTTAACTCTTCTAGTAGAGAATAATATATTTGTACGTTTTATTTGCTTTGACTAATTGTTACTTAAGAAACATTGTTATTGAATTTAATTTTGTATATTTAACTGCTATATTTTAGTCATAGTGTCTTTATATTTTATAAAGTTGTGCTAAATAGTAAATTAATGTTTTTTGCGTAGTAGATACTTATTTAAAAGAGATCTTGCTGCTTCATCTGGTGATTTAGTTTCTTTAATTATTTCATTTGTTGTTTTATCTTGTGAGATTTCTTTTAAGTTTTCTTGTGTTAAAGTCAAATTTTGCCCTTCTGGGCCGGAAAGTTGAATTCTTGCTTGTTGTAAATCAAAATTCATATTTGGATTTGTTTTCATATCATATCAGTTGAATATTCCCTCCAATTGCTGCTAGTGTATAATAATATTCCAGATACGATTTTTAATAAAGTTATATAAATGTGGAAATTTCCAAAATTCTATTGTATTTTCTATAGCAAAGTTATAAAATTCTTGAAAAAAATCATTATCTTGTAACAATTCTGATAGCCCGAAAGTATTTAAATATCCTTGTTTTAAGTCATCCTTTAATGATTCAATATATAAATTTTCTAATAAAGTTGGTGTAATAGAAATTGAATCAGAATAAAACACTTGAAGAAAAGCACGTGCAAATGTTGGTCCATTATTACTTCTAAGTTGACATACACTTAAAGGTAAATGGATCCAGCATTCTAACCATTTTTGAAAACTTTCAGTAGCTTTTTTTATACCCTTTTTAAGACTTTCACAATACCGTATATTGCCGAAAATAAGCTACCTTTTTTGGCCAAAAAAGTGACACAAAAATCCCGGGGTAGCTTATTTTCG